AGCACGACCAGCACGACCAGCAACCAGCACGACCGCCAGCACGACCACCAGCACGAACACCAGCACGACCACCAGCACAACCGCCAGCACGACCAGCACGACCAGCCATCAGCACGACCACCAGAACGACCACCACCAGCATGATCACCACCATCACGACCACCAGCACGACCACCAGCACGACCTTCCCCCAGCACGACCACGAGCACGCCCACCACCAGCCCGACCACCATAACGACCACCAGCACGACCACCAGAACGATCACCAGCACGACGACCACCAGCACGACCACCAGCACGATTGCCAGCACGTCCAGCCACCAGCCCGACCACGAGCAAGACCACCGGCACGACCACCAGCACGACCACCAGCACGATGAGCAACCAGCACGACCAGCCACCAGCACGACCAGCAGTACGACCTCCACCAGCACGACTGTGCTGGTGGTAATGCTGATGGTGGTCGTGCTGGTGGTTGTGCTGGTGGTAGTGCTAGTGGTTGTGCTGGTGGTTGTGCTGGCGGCGCTGGTGGTGATTGTGCTAGTGGTTGTGCCATGTGCTGGTGGTTGTTGTGCTGGTGGTTGCACTGGTGGTTGCGCTGGTGGTTTTGCTGGTGCTTGTGCTGGCGGCGCTGGTGGTGGTTGTGCTGGCAGTTGTGGTGGTGGTTGTGCTGGTGGGGGTTGTGCTGGTGGTTGTGCTGGTGGTTGTGCTACAGGGAGTTCGAACAACTAGGACGGCATGCCCGGCCTCAGCTTCGCGGACCTACTCTAAATTCATTTCTTTAAAACTCCTTCTTTTGTTTTCATGCCCTGTGGCCATCGCGCGCGTGATACTCAAAAGCCTAGTTTCTGTTGAAATGGCCACGCCGATGACGTTGTGCTGGTGGTCGTGCTGGTGGTTGCGCTGGGGGATTGTGCTGACAGGGGTTCGTGCTGCAGGGTTGTACCTTGGGGCTGTGCTGGTGGTGGTTGTGCTGGTGGTTGTGCTGGTGGTTGTGCTGGCGGCGCTGGTGGTGGCTGTGCTGGTGGTTGTGCTGGTGGTTGTGCTGGTGGTGGTTGTGCTGGTGCTTGTGCTGGTGGTTGTGCTACCGTAGTGGTTGTGCTGATGGTTGTGCTGGCGGCGCTGGTGGTGGTTGTGCTGATGGTTGTGCTGGTGGTTGTGCTGGTTGTGGTGGTGGTGGTGGTTCTGGTGGTTGTGCTGGTGGTTGCGCTAGTGGTTGTGCTGGTGGTTGTGCTGGCGGCGCTGGTGCTGGTCGTGCTGGTGGTTGCGCTGGTGGTGGTTGTGCTGGTGGTTGTCCTGGTGGTTGTGTTAGAAGTTGTGCTGGTGGTTGTGCTGGCGGCGCTGGTGGTGGTTGTGCTGGTGGTTGTGCTGGTGGTTGTGCTTGTGGGGGTTGTGCTTATGGTTGTGTTGGTGGTTGCGCTAGTGGTCGCGCAGGCGGCGCTGGTGGTGGTTGTGCTGGTGGTTGTGCTGGTGGTCGTGCTGGTGGTCGTGCTGGTGGAAATGCTGGTGGTTGTGCTGGCGGCGCTGGTGGTGGCTCCGCACAACCAGCAGCGCGACCAGCAGCACGACCAGCAGCACGACCACCAGCACGACCACCTCCAGCACGACCACCAGCACGACCGCCAGCACGACCACCAGCGCAGGCAGCCACCAGCACGACCAGCAGCACGATCACCACCAGCACGACCAGCCACAAGCACGACCACCAGCACGACGGCCACCAGCACGACCAGCAGCACGACCACCAGCACGACCACAACCAGCACGACCACCAGCACGATTACCAGCACGACCACCAGCACGACCACCAGCAGCACGACCAGCAGCACGACCAGCAGCACGACCACCAGCACGACCACCAGCACGACCAGCAGCACGACCACCAGCACGACCAGCCACCAGCACGACCACCACCATGACCATCACCGGCACGACCGCCAGCACGGCCGTCAGCACCGTCACCATCACGATACCCACCAGCATGACCACTAGCACGATCACCAGCACGACCACCAGCACGACCACCAGCACGACCACCAGCACGACGACCAGCACGATCAGCAGCACGACCACTAGCACGACCACCAGCAGCGCCGCCAGCACAACCAAGAACGACCACCAGCACGACCAGCAGCGCGACCACCAGCACGAATACCACTGGCACAACCAGCAGCACAACAACCAGCACGACCACCAGCACGACCACAAGCACGACCACCACCAGCACGACCACCAGCACGACCACCAGCACGACCACCACCAGCACAACCACCAGCACGACCAGCAGCACGACCGCCAGCACGACCAGCAGCACGACCAGCAGCACGACCAGCAGCACGATCACCAGCACGACCACCAGCACGACCACCGCCAGCACGACCACCAGCACGACCACCACCAGCACGACCACTAGCACGACCACCATCAGAACGACCACCAGCACGACCAGCCACCAAGACGACCAGCCACCAGCACGACCAGCCACCAGCACGACTACCAGCACGACCACCACCGGCACGACCACCAGCACGACCGCCAGCACGACCACCAGCACGACCAGCCACCAGTACGACCATCAGCACGACCGCCAGCACGACCACCAGCACGACCACTTGCACGACCAGCCGCTCGACCAGCCACCAGCACGACCAGCAGCACGACCACCAGCACGACCAGCCACCAGCACGACAACCAGCACGACCAACAGAACGACCAGCCCCCAGCACGACCAACAGCACGACCAGCAGCACGACCACCAGCACGACCACCAGCACGACCACAGCCAGCACGACCGCCAGCACGACCACATGCACGACCACCAGCACGACCACCAGCACGACCAACAGCACGACCACCAGCACGACGACCAGCACGACCACCAGCACGACCATAAGCACAACCACCAGCACGACCGCCTGCACGACCACCAGCACGACCACCGACACGACCACAAGCAGGACCGCCAGCACGACCACCACCAGCACGACCAGCAGCACGACCACCAGCACGATCACCATCAGCACGACCAGCCACAAGCACGACCACCAGCACGACCGCCACCAGCACAACCACCAGTACGACCAGCAGCACGACCACCACCAGCACGACCACCAGCACGACCACCACCAGCACGACCACCAGCACGACCAGCCGCACGACCAGCCACCAGCACGACCGCCAGCACGACCAGCAGCACGACCACCGGCACGACCACCAGCACGACCGCCAGCACCATCACCAGCACGACCAACAGCACGACCACCAGCACGACCAACCACCAGAACCACCAGCCGCACGACCAACCACCAACCTGACCACCAGCACAACCACCAGCCAGCAGGACCATCAGCACGACCGCCACCACGACCAGCCACCAGCACGACCACCAGCCCACCCACCAAATCAACCATCACCAGCACCACCACCAACACGACCGCCAGCACGACCAACAGCACGAGCACCACCAGCACGACCACCAGGGGGAGGAGGAGGAAGAGCGGGAGGAAGAGCAAGAGGGGGAGGGGGGAGGAGGAGGAGGAGGAGGAGGAGGAGGAGGAGGAGGAGGAGGAGGAGGAGGAGGAGGAGGAGAGGCAGGAGAGAGAGAGAGAGAGAGAGAGAAAATGTCGTAGGAGGAGGTGGAAAAAGAGGAGGAGGAGGAGGAGGAGCCAGCACAGCACCACCAGCACAACAACCAACACCACCAGCACAACAATCTCTGGGGCGAAATCTTCGGTTCCCAATCAAAAAAAGCTGCACCAATTCGAAAAGCGAGCCCAACTCGACAAAACGGAAAATTTGCACAGGCTGTCGGTTCCCAATCAGAAAACCTGCAGAAGATTTCGGTTCCCAACCAAATAAGCGGCACAATCGACTGAACAGTAGTGTTCGCCCATGTTTTTTTCGGTGTCCACGCAGCGTAGCATTTGTACTAGTGCACGATCATGTTCTCGACGGCGCCCTGTCCTGATGCGCGATTGCGTCTCACATCTGGTGCGCGCCCACACATCCACCCGCAAACGTGCGAGCGCGCCTATAGCCAACAACCAATAGCTCCAAATATGTCCAAGTTCGCAGAAGCCTTCGCGCAAATCGTCTTTTGGATGCCATTATTCATCGCATGGTCGCCATCTTCTCAGTGGCCAGCAGTGCGCGACCGTGTCGCCACATCGTCCGCGCATGGGCGCATCTTGACCAGTGCTTGGCCATGTGTTTGAATATCCTATGTATTCGGGCGCGCGCGCGAGATGCCATTCTCCCGACTCTACAACCCATGTTTTTGTTGAACCCCATGTATCAATAACCCTATGTGTTAAAACATGTCCCTGTAGATGAGACAACTCAAATCAAGAAACCAGAGGAATCAAGCATGCTTGGAATCCGCAACTCAGCACGCACGCAAGCGAGCAAGCAAGCGCGCAAGCGCGCAAGCAAGCAAGCAAGCGAGCAAGCCAGCAAGCAAGCGTGCAAGCGCGCAAGCAAGCACGCAAGCAAGCAAGCGCGCAAGCAAGCAAGCAAGCACGCATTGGAAACATGGGCATAAGCATAGGCATAGGCATAGGAGCGCTCAGAGGTGGTGCATAGGCATAGGCAGGCATAGGAGTTCGAGGGGAGGCACAGGCATAGGCATAGCCACAGGAATTAGGGGGGGCATAGGAATTAGGGGAGCAACGGACCAATGAGTAAGGTTTGAGTTTGAACTCCTTTAGGGCAAGCCCAGCTGGAGAACTACTTGCGCTCTGGCAGCAACAATTGCGTGGGGGTGAAACTGTGCGTATGTTTCGCAATTGCAATGAAATGTTGCCCGCTCAATAGTCACAAGCATGCCCCCCCCCCCCCCCCCCGCAACTGACGCGTGCTGTTGCACGGAGCGGGCCGAGGCTGAGCTCGGGTGGGCGCGCGCACCCTCTGGCTCTCCGCCCCTCCTTTCTCCCTTCCTCCACGTTCGCCTGCCCCCGACCTCCCGCGTCCCCTCGGTGCCCCCCTGGGAGGGCGCCCCCGGCTCAGACGTTCAAGTTGCCACCCCGGCTGCCCCAGGCGGCCCGCAGCGCCGCCTGTCCGTCCCTGCTGATGCCGTTGGAGTACAGATCCAGCTTCTTCAGGCCAGTCGCTGAGGGCAGCACCTTTGCGGGGGGGTCGTTGTTTTTTCCTCGTGTCTTTTTTGTTTCCCTCGGGGGGGGGGGGTCTCCACCGCAGCCCCGCGTTCCCGCCTCCTTCCTTCCTCCCCCAACTCACTTTTCCCATCCCTGCCTGTGCTCTCCGCGTGCCGTCATCACCGTCACTATCGTGATCATCGTGATCACCATCGCCATCATCGGCGTCATCAACATCGCCATCGTCAGCGTCGTGAACCACCCCTTACACGGTTCCTGGCCCCACAGGGAGCTCCACCGAAGGCCCCAGTGGCACAGGTTGCATGCGGGGACCACCACCCATTCTGGAACCCCTCACACGGTTCGTGGCCCCACAGGGAGCTCCACCGAAGGCAGCAGTGGAAGGGTCCGCATGCGTCCCCCCCCCTCACTTCGGCACATCCCTCACGCGGTTCGTGGCCCCATAGGGAGCTCCACCGAAGGCCCCATTGGCAGGGGCCGCATGCGTCCCCCGGCCCACTTCGGCACACCCCTCACAAGGATCGTGGCCCCATAGCGAGCTCCGCCGAAGGCCCCAGCGGCAGGGTCCGCATGCGCCCCCCAGCTCACTTCGGCACACCCCTCACGAGGATCGTAACCCCATAGGGAGCTCCGCCGAAGGCCCCAGCAGCAAGGTCCGCATACGTCCCCCCGCTCTTTTCTGCACACCCCTCACGAGGACCGTGGCCCCATAGGGAGCTCCACCGAAGGCCCCAGCGGCAGGGTCCGCATGCGCCCCCCCGCCCATTTCGGCACACCCCTCACAAGGATCATGGCCCCATAGGGAGCTCCACCGAAGGCCCCAGCGGCAGGGTCCGCATGCGTCTCACCGCACATTTCGGCACAGCCCTCACGCGGTTCGTGGCCCCATAGGGAGCTCCACCGAAGGCCCCAGCGGCAGGGTCCGCATGCGTCCCCCCGCCCATTTCGGCACACCCCTCACAAGGATCATGTTCCCATAGGGAGCTCCGCCGAAGGCCCCAGCAGCAAGGTCCGCATACGTCCCCCCGCTCTTTTCTGCACACCCCTCACGAGGACCGTGGCCCCATAGGGAGCTCCACCGAAGGCCCCAGTGGCAGGGTCCGGATGCGTCCCCCCGTCCATTTCGGCACACCCCTCACGCGGTTCGTGGCCGCATAGGGAGCTCCACCGAAGGCCCCTGTGGCAGGGTCCGCATGCGTCCCCCCCGCTCACTTTGACACATCCCTCACACGGTTTGTGTCCCCATAGGGAGCTCCACCGAAGGCTTCAGTGGCAGGGTCCGCATGCGTCCCCCCGCACATTTCGGCACACCATTCACACGATTCGTGGCCTACTGGGAAGCTCCACCGAAGGCCCCAGCGGCAGGGTCCGGATGCGTCCCCCCGTCCATTTCGGCACACCCCTCACGCGGTTCGTGGCCGCATAGGGAGCTCCACCGAAGGCCCCTGTGGCAGGGTCCGCATGCGTCCCCCCCCGCTCACGTTGGCCTTCCCGCCTTCATCCTTTTTTTTGTTTCTCTCTCTCTCTTTCTCTCTATTCATGTATTCGTTTCCGTCGCGCGTTTGTCCGCCTGGCCTGAAATGGGGCGAGCCCCCTGCAACGCCACTTTGTCTCCATGTTCTTCCCGCCTTCATTATTATCTCTTTCTTTCTCTCTCTCTCTCTCTCTCTCCAATTTTGCGCGCGGCCCACCTGGCCTGAAGTGAGGCGAGCCCTCTGCGCCGCCATTTTCTGCCCGCCAGACCGCCCCACCGCCCCACGGGCCACTAACACCGATTGATGTCCAAAATGTTCGGGATGTCGTGCGTGTTTGTTTGCATAGAGATGGGTATCTTTTAGTGAACAGTGCAACAAGGAATTGTGGTGACCGTGTCCCGAAGGGCGCCGTTCTAGCCAATTTTCAGTTTTCGTTCCCGCGCCGCCCAGGGTATGCAACCGCCGCCACGTGCGTTGCGTGCTTTCGCAGCAGTCGCGCCCTGCGAGATGTTTGCGAGAGCTCGCGCGTGCCTGTTTTGAAAGGCGTCGCCGTTGTAAACATTATGCACGTAGCGCGTGCCGAATTCTGAATGGCGCTACCGACACAGAGTTGCGCCGTTCATTGCGGAGGGCCAGGCGATGGACTCAAACCAATCGCCCGCGTTGTTTGGTTGTTGTCGTTTGTTCCCAATCATCCTGTGGTGTTGGGTCCTCGTTTTGAAAAGACAGCGCCCCGCGTTCCCGCATCCTTCCTTCCTCCCCCTCTTCCCTCCTCCCATCCGCCTCGTCACCTCCCTGCGTTTCACCCACCCAGGACAGCGCTTCGTGGCCCAATAGGGAGCTCCACCGAAGGCTCCAGTGGCACAGGCCGCATGCGTCAACGCCACCCAGGACAGCGCTTCGTGGCCCCACAGGGAGCTCCACCGAAGGCTCCAGCGGCACAGGCCGCAGGCGTCAACGCCACCCAGGACAGCGTTTCGTGGCCCCACAGGGAGCTCCACCGAAGGCTCCAGTGGCACAGGCCGCATGTGTCAACGCCACCCAAGACAGCGCTTCGTGGCCCCACAGGGAGCTCCACCGAAACCGGTACCATCAATGCAGCACTAGCAACTGCATAAGGTCGGGTCCTTCGTTTATAATTGTTCCCCTTGGGGGGGGTATTTTTTCCCTCGGAGTTTTTGTTACCCGCCTCGGAATATTTTTTTCTTGTCTTTTTCTGTTTCCCTCGGGTCGTTTTTTTGTTCCCTCCGACGGGGGGGGGCAGGGGGAGCCGGGGGGGGGGCAGAGGTCTCGAGGTTTTTTTCCCCTCTCCAGGGGGGGGGTCGGGAAGGGCGAGCCGGGGAGGCCTGGCGGGCGCTCCAGCTCGGTCCGGGCCCTGCGGCTCCACTTTGCCGGCCCAACGGACGGACAAGAGGCGTGCGAAGATGATCTCTGGTAATAGGTTGCGAGTATTTCTACTTCGCGCGCGCGTGGCGGCCCCTGGGTAAAGCCTAGAATTAAAGCATTTGGGTGTTAGGGTCTTAGGGTGTTGGGGCATGAGGGCCTTCGGGTGTTTGGGTGTTAGCGCTTCAGCGCATTAGGGTCTTAGGGTTCTGGGGTGTTAGGGTCTTCGGGTCTGAAGGACGTTGGGTGTTATGGGTCTTAAGGTAGTCTTATGGCATTGAGGTATTGCGGTATTCGGGCGTTAGGGGCTTAGGGCTCCAAGGTTTTACGGCGTTGTGGTACAAGGGCGTTAAGGTATTATGGTATTGGTGGCATCATGGCATGAAAGTATTATGATGTTGGGGCATCACGATGTTAGGGCCTTCGGGTGTTAGGATATTGGGGCTCCCGGGTGTTATGGTCTTAGGGTATGAGGGCTTTTGTGTGTGAGGGCCTTGCGGTATCGAGGTATCAAGGTAGTCGGGTGTTCAGATTGTAAAGTATTAACGCATTGTGGTATGAAGGGCCTAGGGTCTTATAGTATTAGGGCATTGGGGTATTATGGTATTAGGGCATGTAGGTGTTAAGGTGGTAAAAGTCCTCGGGTGTTAAAGTGTTAAGGTCTTGAGACCTTCGGATGTTCAGTGTGGTAATAGGGTCTTCTGGTATTCGGGCGCTTGCGCATTGGCGTATCAGGTGTTAGGGTCTTGGGTAGTAGGGCATTGAGGCATCGAAGCCTTAGGGTATTAGGGCCCTAGGGTCGGAGGGCATTTGAGGCATTAGGGTACTATGGTATGAACATACGTGCGTACTACTGTATTAGGGTGTTAGGGCGTCGGGGTGTTAGGGTCATTGGGTCTCAGGGACTGAAGATCTCAGGGTCTGAAGGTACGAGGGCCTTTGAATCCAAAGGGCTTAGGGTGTTCGGTCACAGAGTGCTACTGGGTTGGGACCTTCGGGTCTTAGAGCCTCAGGGTGTTAGGCGATCAGGGCTTCCGTGTGAAAATATCAAGGCATCACTGTGTTATCGTATTAGGGTGTTAGGGTTGCAGGGTCTTAGGGTATGGTGTCCTAGGGTCTGGGGGTGTTAGTGTGTTCGAGTATTGGAGTATTAAGGTGTTAGCGTTCGGTCGTTCGGGCATTAGGGTATTCGGGTATTAGGTGACCAACGTCTCAGGATATTAGGGCGTTCGAACCGTCGGGCTTAAGGCCTGCTGGCCTTAAGGCCTTGAGGTATTAGGTTGCTTGGCCTTTAAAACCTTCGGGCGATAGGGTATTATTATATCACTGTATATGTGTGCTCGCGTGTTAGTATAGTAAGGATATTGGAGTATTCGGGTGCTCGGGCGCTATGGAATTACATTATTTGGGTATCAGGGTATTGGGGTATCAATGTATCAAAGCATTCATTCGGGTAGTATGGCCTTATGGTTTTGAAGTATCCGCGTATCGGGGTATCCGGACATCCGGGCATTCGGGTTTTAGGGTGGTATGGTCTTCGGGTATTAAGTTGTTCGCGAATTCGGGTATTAGACCATTAGTGCGTTAGGGTCTCCAGATGTTGCGGCATTATTGTGTTAGGTTGGTCGCGTGTTAGTGGAATAGGGTATTAACTTGTTCGGGTGCTCAGGTGTTCGGGCATGAAGGTATTAAGACATCAGGGTCTAGAGTATTAGGGTATGAGGGAACCAGGGACGTGGGGAATTCTGGTGTTAGGTCATCAGGATATGAGCGGCTTAGGGCGTTCGGGTCTTCGGGTTCTAGGTTGTTAGTATCTTGGGGTCGAACGGTCTTTGGCCTTAGGGTCTTACGGCATTAAGGTGTCTGGGCATTACATTATTAAGTTCGTTGGGTTTTAACGTGCTGGTGTATTGTGGTGGCTGGGTGATATGGTATGATGGTATTAAAACATGGATGTGTTAGGTTATAGAGGTATTCGGTAATTAAGGCATTAGGGTGTGAGGGTTTTAGGGTGTTGGGATATGAGGGCCTTCGGGTGTTTGGGTGTTAGGGCTTCAGAGTCATAGGGCTCTGGGATGTTAGGGCCTTCGGGTCTGAGGGGATGGTAGTCTTATGGTATTGAGGTAGTGAGGTCTTCAGGCATTGGGGGCA